CAGACATAAAAGTCAAGGATGCATCTCCTTCATAGACTGTCCCTACCAGCCTCTCACAGGATGTACTCCGTGTACACAGATTCACTAGCTAGAAAGAGTTCTCGTATTGATTACACTTTTTACTTCAAATGATATTTAAAACTCTGGTGTTTTTTTCTGTAAACTTTAAATGGCATCTCTTGACCCCGTAAGAAAAAGATGTTATCTCCTCTTACTCCATTTTTCCATCTTTCCACTGCCATCTTCACAACCTTAGTTCTGAGCTCCTCATCCGTCAGCTTGGCTGTGAGTCAACCTGCTAACGGGTCTCCGGGCTCCCCCCTCCCACTCGCCGCGGAGCTACAGAGGTTTCTGCAAATTTGGCCGCGCCGCTCCTGGGATTACAGTTCTTCTATCACTTCTCAGACAACTCCATCCCGAGGCCTGGGCGCCGTGTTCGGCTCCTGCCGTTCTCTCTGATCTTGGCTTGTCACCCCACCCTTTACTCACTGTGCCAAAGCTGCCCTGGTTTCATTGTTGGTTTGTATTTGGTTAAGCATCTCCAGCGTACGTTTTTCCCCTGAGGCCTTTTGCGCACATTGTTTATTTTCTCCTCCTCGAACGTCTTTACCGTCGACTTTTGGTGGCTGGCTTTGTCTCATCTTTCAGGCTCTATCCCAGTGTCTCCTCCTCCAGATGACCTGCTTACCTCTCGGCTCCGAGGCCAGCCAGGCTACGACTCCGTCTCCACCACCCGTCTCTGCTCTCTTCCCTCCGCCCCTGCTTTGCTGCCTTTACGATGATCCACCATCACGTTTGTGTTTGCTACAGTGTCATCTGTCCTCCCATCAAAATGTAACCTCCCCCAGCACAAGGCCCCTCATGACAGTCTTGGGGGTACGTACGAAAAGAGAAAGGGAAGAGAAGCAACACACGCTCTACCCAACTTCGCCTGAAGCACTTAGGCGACTTCAGCTGATTAAAGAATTAGAAATACGGGAGATGCTCTGAGTCCTCCGCTTTTACAGAACCACTTTTAGTCCTTCGTGCGCGCACTTGAGCCTCCTCCTTGTCATCCTCGTGTGGCTAAATCCTAGTCAGCCTTCAGAGCCTGCCCGGGATGTCTTCACAGCCCTGACGTGTTTCTCTCTCTTCACTGCACCTCTCACAGACCAGCTCGTCAACCCCACTCAGCTCCATCCTTTCACTCCAGTTTGAGTTTCTTGCCTCCCCTATAGCATTTTTGTTTATCGCCATCAAAATGCTTTATATGATAAAATACAATATATTATTAAAATACAAGAATCATCCCTTTTGCTTTGCCTCCTAAGTGACCTCCTTTTGGAAAGTGCCTGGCACGTAGTCACTCAAAATAGTGATCACTGAATGGACGGATAAATGAGTGTGTGAACAGAAGAGCGTGATGCTGTCTCGGAGCCTTTCCACTGTACCGGGAGATTATGGGTAACCTGTGGGAGGGGCAGAGTAGACGGTGGCAAATGTAACAGATAGGAGAAGACGTGGGGATGCATGTTGAGTGCACCTCTGTCGCATCAACCCAAGAAACTCTTAACGCCTGTAATTCCATCCTACATCTTCTCTGTGTGTCCTAAGTTTGAATTTATGTTACGCTTTTTGAAGTCAGGAATCAATTTAGCTCAAAAAAACTTTGGGTAACTTTTGAAGGAACATTTCTACAATCACTTTTCTATCTATTACATTTCTAGTAACAAGGTTTATGAGAAACTTGTCTCTCTGAGTTAAAATGTCAAGATGAATCAAGTGTCCTGTCAAGTCTTTTTTCCCCTTTCGTTTTATTGTTTTTGAGATTTTTTCCCTGTTGCATTAGCTTACTTTCTCTGAGCCATTTCTGTAATATTTCCTTATAATCTTAAGCTAAAATGTAGCACTTTATTTTTTCAATGAGATCATGTCCTTTTTGTGCATTGTGTTCTGAGACTGGGTAAAGCTGTTAAGAAATGGGTAAAGGCACATTAGTTAAGTGAGCATGGGACAGACTGGTTGGCAGAATTCCAGGGGCGGGCAGGTGTGTGGGTTGAGAAGGAGGAGGAGGCAGAGCTGGGAAGAAGGAAACGTGGCAGAGGCAGTGGGGCAGTCCCGGGCTGAGAGGGTACATGTGGGTCATCTTAGGCTGAGGCTCCAGCCCTCGCAACCAGAGGCCAAACGTGAAGAACCCTTCCTAACCTGTGCCTCCACTTAGACCTGGAAGCTTACTTCACGCTAAGGGGAATTGTAGCAATACTTAGATAATTTAGTTCTGGCTTAAAATCCTGTGCAGGCAAGAATAGCAAATGCATTCTCCGGGTGCCTAAGCTTCCAGTCCGCAAGGCTCTCCCTCTCCTGACATTCCTGTGGGCATCTTCTCAAAGCGCCCGCTAGACCCCTTCATCCATTGGCTCTTCCTACCTGGGGAAACCTCATCTTCCGGGGTCCTACCTCCTCCTCATTCATGTCTGCCTTTCCCCACCAAAACTGTTGCAGAAAACTTAACAGCATGTAATAATTCACAATAAATTGTGGTAAATCATACTAAATTTAACTATCCCAAAGCATTTATTCCAAGTATTTGCCATGCCACATACACTTCAGACTGGTTGAATTTATAGTGTTATCCACATGTGAGACATTGTAGGAGAGAAGATACTGAAGATAATTGGGCCACTGGTCCACTTTAAATCACACCACGTAGATCAACATCCATTCTACTATCTCAGAAAATACGGTTTTTGTTTGTTTTGTTTTTTTTTTTTGGAGAGGAGGGGATTCTTATTTATCACTCTAGAGTTGAAACATAGAATTCAGAATTGTAAACCACTATCACAAGCTTTCTGGATTAGGTAACTAGACATAACATTCACATCTATCCTTATAAAAGAGTCCTTTTTATTAATTTGTAATTAATTCTTATGAACATAATATCAATTCTTCTTTTTGCACTAGATTTAACTCAAATTCAAAACCATGTGTAAAAAAATAAATTCTCTCTCTGTCAGAATAGAATCTCTCTTTGATGTGTAACATATTTCAGCTCCCGAAAGAACATTTTTGCCCTTTAAACCTCCAGAATTAGGAAACACACATCTCTCCAAACAACAGAGCCAGCGTGTATTTGAACATGTTTCAGCTGAGTTTTAATTTATTTACTTTGATCAGCCTGAAATTTCTGAGCCATGGTTAATTTCAAAGAGTATACACTTTTTGGACTTGAAATCTAAAAGCTTGTCTTGCAAAGCTTGGTGACAAGATATTCCAGACAGCAGAAACTATGCAGCATTACTGAAGAACTGTTATTCTAAACTTCGTAAACCCGACCAAACTCTTAGTAGCCTGGGGTGACTCTCCAGCCTTAACCTTCCACAAGGAAACAGCTGAGGTTTCTGCACGAGTAAGGATGTAAATGCAGACAAACTACTGCATTTACAAGGTACTACTTGGTCTCCAATATCTTTTTTAAAGAGTGGGGAAAATAGAAAATTGAGCTTATAAATTCTTCCTCTTGGCTCTGAGTCTTTTTAAGTAGCGAATAATATTTTGTGAGGAACGTTCACTCTTAAGAGGACAGGGACCATTTATGAAGTGCCAAAGCACTGGATCTGGTGGAGTAAAGCAGATTGTGACAGTATACACAACTGTCTTTTCTCAGTTCCTCAACTTAGCCTTCAGCACTTAATTTAGTATTTCTCAGTACTCAGTTTGTGTTCCACACCTCTTTCTACGTGGGAGACAAAGACAGAGGCAGAGGCTGATGTCTGCGTGGGTGTCATTAAGGATCAAGGCCACTGTGTTGAGTGTGATTTCTGACAGGGCGAGCGAGGCTGATGAAACTGACTGACGTTTCAACTAAGTTTCAGAAACAGTTGGCAAACAAGGAATAAACCAGTCCTACATCCACTGAAAGTTCACGCAGTTTTCTCTACTAGTTTGTGCCACACGTGCGCTTTTGTGAAAATCATGAGGCTAATCACCTCAGCATTCTTTTAGATACAAAAGCTGTACTTTATCTAAGAAATGGGTATGTAAACAAGTGAAACGAGTCCATTGGAATTGCTTAGGTAAGCAAGGCATTTAAATCACTATTATTTAATTTTTACCATGTTTGTAGCACCCAATTTTAATAGTATTTCAGATTCTGCTTTGTCATCAGTTTAAACAGTTTATTTAAACTTGGCATCAAGTCTCATCAATTCTAGCTCATCAGTGAGCTAGAAACAACAAATCGTCTGTACGTGACAAATGCAGTAACGTAAAATCTCAGCAAAGAATGTGCAAATTGTGAAGCACTAAAAGTATTCCTCTTAAGGAAGAGACAAAACCACTCGTGTAAAGTAAAAGATGTTTGCTATGATTGGTAACATTAACATTATTCTAGAACACTTTGCCAATGCAATCATATTTTGGTATATTATGTTGTGATATTAGTTATTATTAGTTGTAATATTTTTGTGGTCAGGGAAATGACTGTATACTTGGTTTAAAAGTGGTTGGATATAAGATTTACAAGGTAAATATCAAGCAATAGCATATTAGCATGCATAACTAAAAAAAGACTATCTTTCAAAAAGCATTAAGCATATTTGAGAAAACCTAAAATATTACTAAATATGCAACTTAAAAAGGGTATGTCTTTATTTTCTAGACTGAAAGGCCCTCAAGGGAAGAGGTTTTGTTTTATTTGCTAATATTCCTGATTAGAGGCTGATTTCAAATAAGCATTCAATCAAAATTTGGTGACTAAGTGAAAAATGTTGGGACTTCATGAATGACAAAGTTTTAAAAAGTCAATCGAATATCTCTCACATAATTAGTTACCTATCATGAACTAGGAAACCAAATTTCCTCCAAGAATAAACATTTTCATCTTTCAAGAGAAAGCCTCTTACACATTAAGCTACAGAACGGTAATTATACCACTTTTTTTAGACCAAGTTTTTATTACCACTGTGAAAAGCATGTTAGCAAATGTTTTGCAATATAGGAAAAAAAAACCTTTTTACTCTTACCTTCTGCAACACAAGCAGCCCATAACGTAAGCCACACAATCTTTGCTGGAAATCGCATTTTGAGGGTCCTTCAGGGGTACATGTAGGGGTTGACGTGCTCACACTGTGTCAGGCTCTCCTCTGCTGAAAACTGTGAGAAGTACGGGAAACCACTTGCTCCAAAAGGAAGTTGAAACACAGCTTGGGAATTAAAGGGGTTGCTGGATGCTCCGCCCATCAGAAAGTCCTGCATAGTAAAAGAAAAAAAATCGGCCAGGAGCCCAGAGTTTGAGCCGACTCTCCCTTCACTCCCAGGGAAAGTGAAGCTGCCTTTGATTTGTTTTTATAAACTCAGGGATGTTCTTCATTGGAAACATTCGGGTTCTAAGAAGGTACGGACCTGGAGATAGCCTCTTTCATAAACCCTCCAGTTACTCAAACCCCATTCAGATCTATTGTGTGTAAACCTCAGAAGATTAAAAAGAAAATAAAAGCTCTTTTAAAAATCATTGACAGAACTCGAGGTTAGGAAATACTTTCACAATCAAGACCCAGATGGCAGGGACAGACTTTGCCAAGAATGCAGTGCAGGCTGACCCGGGGGCCTGCTTTCCCTGCGGCTCGTGAAGTTAGTCTTCTGAGGACTAGTTATGTAGGTGTGTGACGCAACGGGCTCGCTCTCCTTAGGCATGAATGAGCTTAATAATTCAAAAATCAAGCAATCGAAATGCTGAATTTTTTAAGCTTTGCACTGGAATGTAATATGCACAAGGAGATGGCAAGCAAATGCTTTGCTGGATACAGAGAAAGTGAAGGCGCACATACAGGGACCCCCAAGGTGAAGAACACTCCTCAGCACCCCCTTGCCGCTCCCCCATCACACACAGGTGACCACCCTCCTGATCTCTGAGAACAGGGAATAGATTTGCCTGAGTCTGTACTTTATATGCTTTGAATAATAAGATAGTTACTCTTTTGTGCTTGGAGCCTTCCTCCAAAAACTATGTTTGGATTACTCAATCACACTGTTGGCTGTTGCTGCAGATTGTTAACTCCTATTGCTGTTTAATATTTAATTATTTGAATAGACCACACTTTATTTACCTATGTGTCTGTCAGTGGGCATCTGGGTGGATTCTAGTTCAGAGGTGGTGTGCATGGTGCTGCTCTGACCATCACAGCATAGCAATCGCGAGGTTTTCGGTAAACACATGTCCTCAGTTCTGACCAGTACCTCCTCAGGAGTGGGATGTGAATGAGGACATAACATATGAATATGTTTAGGTGGAATAGGTAACATCAGGCACTTTTCTAAAAGGATTTCACTAACGGACACTCCCATCAGCAAGTGCATAAGTTACTCCAAACCCTCAACACACTACTTTTGTTCTGTCTTTGTAGTTTTAACCTTTCTCGTGAGCATAGGACAGTAATTCTCTGTGGTTTTAATATGCATGTTCCTAATGAGGAATGCAGCTGTGAGACTTTCATGCGGCAATCGGCCATTTAGATGAGCTGCAGGACATTTAAGCAACTTCCTCAAAGTCACAGGACATTGCTAGAACCAGGTGTGAAACCCAGCGATCTGAGTCCCTGATCTTGCTTTTAACGTGTACAGATCTGCCTCTCAGATGATTTGCTTCCTATGCTATTAAATTCGTATAAATTCAATTGTCAGTAACTCCTTTAGTATGGAGACAGTCATCAGATGAGTAAAATTTTAAGTGGATGGTTCACTTCTCTTTGGTGCCTCCTAAGAATGAAAGTTTGCTCCTCTCCTGCACGATATTTTAACATCAATAAAGATACCACAACACTTACGTCTCCACATTGAGGACACTGAGACAAACTGGTTTGCAATATCATAATTCAAAAAGTCTTTAATATTAATCACAGCATAAATCTTGTAGTCCATTATAACAAAAAGAAAACTTAGAGTTTTCCAAAATTTGACATCAATCCCCAAAATTTATAGGACATTGTAAACCATGAGTTGTGAGCCTGGAAGGGCTCTTCTAGTACTTCAGTAACAAGTAAAAAATTTAAATCAAACATGCTAAAGGAAAGAAAGGTTGAAAGCTCAAGAATATTTATAGCAATTTTTAAAAACCCAGAATCCAACAAGTTAAAATTCATAATGTCTGGTAACTGACCCAAAATCATCAGGCATGCAAAGAAGCAGGGATATACAACCCATAATAAAGAGAAAAAATCAATTAATTGACGCTGACTCAGAACAGACATCGATGTTAGATTAAAAAGACAAGGACTTATAACAAGTATTATTACTATATTCTGTGTGTTCAAAAAGTTAAAAGTGGAAACATAGAAGCTATGAAAAAGCCCAGACATGAAAACTACGATGAGTGGATGAAAATTATACTGGATGGGATTATAGGTACTGGACATCACAGAAGAACGTGCTAGTGCACTTGAAGAAATAGCGATAGAAGCTATCCAAAGAAACACAAAAACAGAAGAGAAATTTAAAAAGAACAGAGCATCAGTGAGAGGTAGCACACATTCAGACTTGAAGAGGAGGAGGAGGGACATAAAAATTGTTTGAAGACAGAAAGTCTTAAGAATTTTTCAAATTTGATAAACTCACAATTCCAGGAAGCCCAATGAATCCCAGGAATAAGAAACCTGAAGCAAGCGACGCCAAGGTGCACCATAACCAAGCGACTCAAAATTGGTGATAAACAGATGTTAAAAGCAGCCAGAGAACAACAGACACATTACATACAGGAGCTAAGGATGACAGAGATTTCTCATTGGAAGTAATGCAGGTGAGAAGACAGCATTCTTAAGGACTGAAAAGAAAAGGCTGTCAACTTGGAATTCTATATTCAGTAAGAAATCTACATAGAAACGAAGTGAAGAGAAGGACTTCTCAGATACACAGAAGCTGGAAGAATTCCTCACCAG